TATGATTCTTATATGATTCTTTTATGATTCTTATAAAAATATTTTGTGCTAAATGAACCCCCTTGACTCTCTTTACAATATCAACATTCTTTACCAAAGGGTCCCCCTTAGTCTCTACCAGGGGGAGTATAGGCCCCCTCAAAATCGTAGGCCCATGCCAACTGGCCCACCTGCCCCCCCCCCTCTGTTCTGGCCTGTATATAGACTATTACTTACTATAGACGCTGTCTACTACTAAAATACACTCTAAAGCCTGGCGCACATTGCCGCACATTTTCCCGAACAACAAATGTTCGTCCGAACAAATGTTTTTGTCTGGCAATGTGCGGGTGGACAATTGCTGAGCGCACATTGCCAAACATTTTGCAGCGAACAATCTCTTGGGGGCGTCTAGTAGCTGTGTTGTAAAGAGTTACGTGATCGGCGCATGATTGGGCACAAAAATCATGTGACCGATCACATGATCAAAAATGACCGACAAACATCAAAAATAACTCAGTAGATAATAGTAATTATCAGTCTTAACAAGCATTAGTAGTATAAGTTACAGTCATGCCTGCCGACGTTTTTATGCCCTACTAAGTTTTTATGGTCATCACATATTATATAACCTATTATAACCTATTATAACCAACACATGAATTTAGAATATACACAATAAAATGTGGAAAAATAAGAGTAGACTACTCACATTTCCCAGCTGCTCCTTGCTCTATCAACTAGCATGCAGCTGTATACCTATACCATAGTAGAGCTAGAGTGACGCATATAATGTAAAGCAAATCCATGCGCACCGCATTGTTTTTTTTGGGGGGGGGGGCATCTTTAGAGTGTCTGCAGCAAGAGTGGCAGACTTTTGATGGCAGGCATAGGCTATTCGGGGGCGTCTGGCGGATACATGCACCCACCACTGCATTATTCTGGCAGTGGCCATTCACGATACCTGAGACTATGCCGGACATTTTCTAATGAGTGCCAGAAGGTTTCCTTTCCAGCTAATCGAGCTCAATTTTGGGGTAACGGTTTTTTAGGTCTGGCGGATGCGCCCCACCACTCAAACATTCTGGCAGTGTCCATTCCTGATACCTGGGACCATGCCGAACATTTTCCAATAGGTTTCATGGGGTTTCCTATCCAGCTAATCTAGCTAAATTTTGGGGTGCCTTTCAAATGACCCCACTGACCACACCCATCAGCGGCTGCCCGCCAGACTTACATTTCCTTACATGGGTATGTACACGAATCATTGCTATATGCATGAAAATTGGTTTCCTTTCCAGCTAGGCTGACCACCCTGGGCTCCCAGTCTATATATAATAGCCAATGTATAATCGGTTGATTGTGCAGATCAGCAGATTACACGCAACACGTGTTCGCTACAGGATTGTAGGTAATATATTGCTATTTTTAGTGCAAATCGCGGAACCCTCTATAGGGGCCTACTGAGAACGGTCGAAGAAAATTGGCAGTCAACGGTGACCGACGCACGAGCACCATTTTCATGTACAGCTCTGGGGGAAACCCGGAGCGCGATGCTGCGAGCGAAATGAATGTTATAGATCGAATTTTACCATGCACAAGTGCTGTTGGCATGCCCTCGAACAGTTCGCACGTAAAAGAGTGACCTGTAAAAACGTATGAGAACGGCCGAAGAAAGATCTCGGCAGTTCGGTGACCGACGCACGAGCGCCATCTTCAGGTACATATAAGCATAGCGAGGAATCCAGAGAACGATGCTGCGATTAAAGTTAATATTATCAAGAGTACATAATAGAGATCTCTATTATGTACCTACTCTTAATTGATATTATGGATGGGATTTCACCATGCACAAGTGCCGTCGGCCCGCCCGCGACCTGTTTGAACGCATGAGAACGGCCGGAGAAAATTATCTCGGTAGTCAACTGTGGCCGACGTACGAGCGCCAATGGTTGGCCATCGCGTACTCAGGAATAATTATTTTACCGCGGTAATTTATCCCCGGTTGATTTATGTGTAACAAGGCCCCTGATTGGGTAAATGGGCAATAATTTTACCGCGGTTAAATTATTTCTACCGCGCTATGGGCATCCCGTGGTTGGATTGTGTTACAAGGCCCCTCGGTATAGGTGCGTAAGTGCGGTAGGTGCCTAGGTGGCCTGCGGTAGGTGCACTCTGGTGCTGAACTTCTCGCAATAAAATTGACAAGGAGGTCTAGTCCAGAAACCAGATAGTGCATCATTGGAGAAAGGCTTCTGCCACCTATATTATTATATTATATTATTTCTCAAGGCCTATAAATAAACACATAAAATCCTATTTATTTATAGGCCTTGTTATTTTTATGATTAAATATTAGAGTACCTTCATCCTCTTTATGGAGGTACTCTATTAAATCAAACTGCATGCAGCGCCCCTTTCCCACACTCAGGATAATACCAAAGATCATATTACATATGTATTTGTATGTATTTGTATATTACAGATATATACATTGTATATGATCTTTGATAATACGTAGAATTGTACAATAGAATACTGTAGAATACAGCTGAATTGAGCCAGAGCGAGAGCGCCATCTGTCGTGGAGTTTGATATTAAATATGACCTCGTTACGCCATCTCTCGGTAAAAATGTCTGTTTCTAACTCTTACTTCTGACCAAAGCTTTGCTTCTGACCAAAGATCGCACTATACGATCTTTGCTTCTGACTGGACGTGCTGTGCTGGACCAGAGATACTAGCCCCAGTCCCCAGGCACTGACGGTTCCAAGCGGCAAACCGTGAGTTAGCAATCCTATTGGGTTAGTATTTATGGCTGGACCTAGCTCTAGTACGTACATTGACTGCCGCAGGCAGCCCTGCTTCCATGCGGCAGTGAATGTACGCGGGCTATAGTAATAGAGCTATGGCTGGACCGTGACCTTCTGTGATCATTCTGATTGCTCCAAGGCTGCACGTGCTATGCTGACAGCTGTATATTGCTTGTGTATTGCTGACAGCCAACAGACTGTACGTCCTACTACTAGTAGTACTATCGACTCGAGTCGTGACTCGTGAGGCGCTGGGGGAGTAACAGACAGTCGGCGGAACATTCGAGAGGGCCTACCCTAACCTAGCCCGACCAGGCTGTGCGACGGATTGTCTATACATTCTATTGGTACGGGTATTCTAACCCTAGCAATACCGTTTCTTGGAGCTAACCCTAACCCTAACACTAACCCTAACCCTAACCCTAACTCTAACCTTAACCCTAACCCTAAACATACCTCAATTAATATAATATACCTATATATATACCTACCTTTAATATAAATTAAAAATATAAACATAATACTAAACAACCTAAAACTACCTCGGGTACATATCTGTAGTACCTGTTACGACAACGACCCTTCGTGCTCTAGTACTATAGCCCGCGTACAGTTGCCGCAGTACTAGAGCTAGTGACGGAGCTCTAGTACTACTGTACTAGCACCCGTACCGCAACCGTACGCGGGCTATAGTTACTAGAGCTAGTGACGGTAGGGCTCAAGGATAGAGATGTGCATGTCCAGTAGTGTGTGGTAGTATAGCTCGCTAGTCTACAGAACCACGTACAGCATGTGGCCTTACAACGTTCCAATAACAAAATAATTAATGGTAAATAAACACGATAATCGATATGTCGTTATGTTTACTTTATATATATGTCGAGTAATTCGACGTAAATGATTTATGCTCTTTCAACTCTCCAACACACAAGATCACCGCACGTATGGAAAGCATTTTGTACCAAAAAGCATAAAACGTAGTTTTAGACTTTTAAGGTCTTAAAACCCAGTTTTAAGGTCTAAAACTAGGTTTTAAGGTCTAAAACCTAGTTTTCAGCTCTTAAAACCTAGTTTTAAGCCATAAAACTGGGTATTTGACCTTAAATCCAGGTTTTAGACCTTAAAACCTGGTTGTCTAATACCCGGGTTTATGGCTTAAAACTAGGTTTTAAGAGCTTAAAACTAGGTTTTAAGCTCTCGAATGGGAAGCTTTTTTACCAAAAGCGTAAAACCTAGTTTTAAGCTCTTAAAACCCGGTTTTAAGCGCTTAAAACCCGGTTTTAAGGTATAAAACTAGGTTTTAAGGTCTAAAACCTGGATTTAAGCTCTTAATACCTAGTTTTAGGGTGTAAAACTTGGTTTTAAACCTTAGAACCTAGTTTTAGACCTTAAAACTGGGGTTTAAGAGCTTAAAACCTGGTTTTAGATCTTAAAACCGGGTTTTAAGAGCTTAAAACTAGGTTTTACGCTTCCCGAGGCATTTAGCTCCTGATTGGCTAGTTTGCTTATGCTAGTTATCATCTGCGGGACTGCGCGAGTACAGTTTCTGCGCAGCAGAAAACGAACAAGGAGGGGAGAAGCTGGTGGAGAAGAGGAGGTAGGGGGAGAAGCTGGTGAGAAGGAGGGAAGGGGAGAGGGGCAGTAAGGAGGCGAGGAGGAGGCTGGGGAAGGCAGAGCTGGGAGCGAGAAGCTGGAGGAGGAGGGAGAAGCCTGAGTGGAGAAGGAGGAAGGAGCAGAAGCGGAGTAAGTCGGTGGTGAGAGAAGAGGAATGGGAGAAAGGAGAAGCTGTGGAGAAGGAAGAAGGGGAGAAGCTGGGAGAAGCGAGGAGGGGGAGAAGGGAGAAGCTGGTGGAGAAGCGAAGAGGGGGAGAATGGTGAGAAGAGAAGGGGAAAGAGAACTGGTGGAGAAGGAGGAGGTGTGAGAAGCTGGTGGAAAAGGAGGAGGCGGAAGAGCTGGTGCCCCCTCCTTCCCTTCCTCCTCCACCAGCTTCTTCCTTCTCCCCTTCCTCATTCTCCACCAGCTCTCCCCCTCCTCCTTCCACCAGCTTCTCCCTTCTCCCCGTCCTTCTTCTACCAGCCAGCTCCTTTCTCCCTTCCTCCTTCTCCACCACCTTCTCTCTTCTCCCCTTGCTCCTTCTCCACCAGCTTCTCCCTTCTCCTCCTCCTTCTCCACCAGCTTCTCCCCCTCCTCCACCAGCTTCTTCCCCTCCTCCTTCTCCACCAGCTCTCTCCCTCCTCCTTCTCCACCACCTTTTCCCTTTCTTCCCCTTCCTCCTCCACCAGCTTCTCCCCTTCCTCCTCCACCACCTCCTTTCTCCCCTTCCTCCTTCTCCACCAGCTTCTCCCCCTCCTCCGCCACCCTTTCTCCCTTCTTCCCGCTTCCTACTTCTCCACCAGCTTCTCCCCCTCCTCCTTCTCCGCCACCTTCTCCCTTCTTCCCCTTCCTCTTTCTCCACCAGCTTCTCTCCCTCCTCCTCCTCCACCAGTTTCTAACCTTCTCCCCTTCCTCATTCTCCACCAGCTTCTCCCCTCCTCCTCTCCACCAGCTTCTCCCCTTCCTCCTTTTCACCAGCTTCTCCCTTCCTCCTTCTCCACCAGCTTCTCCCCTTCTTCCTCCACTACCTTCTCCTTCTCCCTTCCTCTCAGCCAGCTTCTCCCCCTCCTTCTCCCACAGCGTCTCCCCCTCCTTCTCCACCAGCTTCTCCTTCTCCCCTCCTCCTTTTCCACCAGCTTCTCCTTTCTCCCCTTCCTCCACCACCTCGCTTCTCCCCTTCCTCCTCCACCAAGCTCCTTTCTCCCCTCCTTCTCCCCTTCCTTCCTTGCTCCACCAGCTTCTCCCTTTCCTCCTCCACCATCTTCTCCCTTCTCCCTTCCTCTTCCACCAGCTTCTCCCCTCCTTCTCCACCAGCTTCTTCCCCTCCTTCTCCACCAGCTTCTCCCCTCCTCCACCAGCTTCTCCCCCTCCTCCACCAGCTTCTCATTTCTCCCCTTCCTCTTCTCCACCAGCTCTCCCCTCCTCCTTCTCCACGCGCTTCTCCCCTCCTCCTTCTCCACCATGCTTCTCCCCTCCTGTTCGTTTTCCGCGCCAGGAACTGTATTGCAGTCCCGCATAAACTAGCATAGAAACATAGCCAGCAGCAGCTGAAATAGCCTCGGGAAGCGTAAAACCTAGTTTTAAGCTCTTAAAACCCGGTTTTAAGCTCTTAAAACCCGGTTTTAAGGTCTAAAACTAGGTTTTATGCTTTTTGGTACAAAATGCTTTCCATAAGCGTAAAACCTAGTTTTAAGCTCTTAAAACCCGGTTTTAAGCTCTTAAAACCCGGTTTTAAGCTCTAAACTTGGAATTAAGCTCTTAAAACCTAGTTTTAAGATCTTAAAACCAGGTTTTAAGGTCTAAAACCAAGTTTTACGCCCTAAAACTAGGTATTAAGAGCTTAAATCCGGGTTTTAGACCTTAAAACCTGGTTTTAGGCCTGGGAAAGCGTAAAACCTAGTTTTAAGCTCTTAAAACCCGGTTTTAAGCTCTTAAAACCCGGTTTTAAGCTCTTAAAACCCGGTTTTAAGGTCTAAACTTGGAATTAAGCTCTTAAAACCTAGTTTTACGGCGTAATTCCTAGTTTTAGACCTTAAAACCTAGTTTTAAGATCTTAAAACCTAGTTTTAAGATCTTAAAACCAGGTTTTAAGGTCTAAAACTAGGTTTTAACATCTAAAACCCGGATTTAGCTCACCTTGACATCGTCAAGCTGAGCTATTGTCATGGGTCGTCGTCCGTCGTCCGTCCGTCGTCCGTCCGTCCGTCGTCACATTTCGCTACGGTCAACGATAACTCAGGAACCTTTGACCCACATGTTTGAAATTGGGCTATAGTTTGTTACTGCTATGCTCCCATATTAAACGTCCTATTTTGAGCTTTCGAGCCACGGCAATTTTTTTGGCAAAAATGGAATGCCATTAGTCAGTTCAGGGTTCAACGGATTTTGCTCCATTTTTGGTACTGAATGAATAAAGGCGTAGGGGTTTGATATTTAAAAAAAAAATATGCAAATTAGGTAGGGTTGGCAATTATATAGCATATATATAGACACACAGTCTGTGGTGCCACACTCGTCTGGTAGTTTTACAAGATTCTATTGACATATCTTTAATGCAAAATTGGTATTTTCTCTCACCCGGCCGGTTAAAACGTCTATATTAGAGTAAAGTTTTACAAAACATGTCGCGAACGCGAGCATAACCTATTTATTTCAAAAACTATTGCTACAAAGCGGGTATAGCGGCCATCTACGGTCACAAATTGTGATTATTTTGGTTTATAAATTATTATTGCGATATACAGATGGCAATTAATCGTTTCTATAATGTACGTCAATGGTTGCTCAGTTAAAAACTGACTTCTTCTTACCACTTCATTTGTGTCCTTTTTTAGCTCATCTGACATAGTCAGATGCAGCTTGTAGAATCGCATGATCGTCCGTGCGTCCGTGCGTCCCGTCCGTCCGTGCGTCCGTCCGTGCGTCCAGTCAACAGTTGGGCACAAATCTTAACCGCTCGACGTACGGTCAGACAATATTCGGGTCGTTGGGGGGTAATCCGAAAACGAGTTGGGATGTCGAAGCTGGGGTCAAAGGTCAAAGGTCAAGAGGTGTAAAAGGGGGGAACATTCACTCCTAACTTAAGGTATAGGGAGGAAATGCAGAAATTGCGGCACAAATCAAACGGCTCGCCTAGGCTCGTGATAGTCGGGTGTATAGCATCATGCAGGGAAAAGCCATCACTGTGCTGAAATTGGAGGTAACAGGGTCAAAGGTCAATGGCAAGGCCAGATTTTAGACATTTTCTGAGGACATGGTCTGACGGAGCGATTGAAAAACTTTTGTTGTTTCAGCGTGACCTAGCATTTTTATGGCTTTATGAAAGGACCATGAAATGTCCCTTCTGCTGACATGCGAAGAGTAAGTGTCGGATAACCTTTTGACCCTCAAGAGGAGGGTTAAACATGGATTTGTTGACTGTTAACAAAGGAGCTGAACTGCTTTTGCTATTAGAGCCCCTCCCCCCACCCTCCCCTCCCCACCCCTCCCCCGCCCTCATTCTCTCCCCCGCCCCTTCCCACCCTCCACCACCCTGCCCCCCCACCCTCCATCTGCGATCAGTGGGCGTGTCCTAACAATGATGTGTACGAACTGCGTGTCTGCATATCTGCCGCCCTAACAAATGTGGTACTACGCACGACTGAAATTTTACGCTTTATAATCGTAGCAACAGACCTCAGATGAGCCCAGACGCTCTGCGCTCTTTGTTGTGTAGCTACAGTGTCATTGACACTTTCATTAGAGATATTAATTATTATAATAGTTATATAGAGCTAATATTAGAAAAACATTGATGAAGACTTTTGTAGTAATTACATATGTCATGTTTACTGTTAGTGCACAGCCACAGGCACTTGGAACGTCTGAATAACAAAAAAAGATAAATATAAAGGCAGTGGCTGGCGCTGAGAAGGTCTATGTCCCCCAGGGTACTGCCGGAACGTACCCTGGTACTATCTAATATGCCGGACCGTACCTCGCCTACTCCACTAACGAGTCTAGGGAGTCGCCTACTCCCTAACCCTAACCCTAACCCTAACCATATCAGATAGTTATACCAGGGTACGTTCCGGCAGTACCCTGGGGCGCATAGACCCCCCTGCCCCCCCCTGCCCCCCCCTGGCAGTATAAAACTAAAAGGCAGTGGCTGGAGGTACGGCAGCCATATCTCCAATTAACGAGGCTGGAGGTATGGCGGGCTGTGTCAACATTAGCTCTAGTAACGCTGATAGGGTTTATGTCTCCCTGGGTACTGCCGGAACGTACCCTGGGTACGGTCCGGTATACCGGAACGTACCCTGGTAACTATCTGATATGGTTCAGGGAGACATAGACCCTGGCAGCTCCAGTAACTATAGCCCGCGTGCAGTTGCCTGAGGCCTATAGTACTAGAGATATGTCAACATTAGATACAATAATGTAACCCAACTAGAGTAGGGTAACCCTACATTATTGTATCTATGTCAACATATGCTACATATGCTACATATATTGTTATTATATTCTAAATGCCTATAACCACATCTGGCCTAATGGTTTCGGACATTAGATTGTAGACCTATATATATTGGTGTTATCGTAACTAATTTGTTCATGTAATTCTATTTGCGCCATCTATGAAAACCTGATCTACGTAGTTGCCCATGTATCTGACCTAGCTTGCTCCACAAAGTGAGGTGTGGGATAATGAATGTTTGTTTGTTTTGCTTGTTAATTATTGGTTTGTTGCGCTGCACTTGGCGATGGTGCCTATACGATCATGTTCTTTTGTATTTCTACTTGACCATAGGTCTATTAAATTTATGTGGGAATGTATTTGCAGGTCGTAATGCAAGGCTGTAGGACTAGGAGCGCATACCTACTTGCTGGGCAGAGTGCAGGTTTTGTATTTAGTTATGGGATTAGGTGTGGAACAAGCCAAAGATTCAGATGTGGGAAGACTGTGATGAGTACAACTAGAACCATTTCCACAGTGCGCGTTAATGGCTCTAGATGGCTCAGCTGTCCACCTAGCAAGAAATTGTTAGTCAGTAAAGCTATCCCTCCACAAGAAATCAGATGTGCACTTTGGAAAAGATTCAGCAGCACATTACCTACAATAACTACGCAGGAAAATACGTTGGCCGTTGTCAAGGAAGACGGAAATATGTTGGAGATTCACTGGAGTGAAGGAGGCAAGTCACAGTTCAATTCAACCTGGCTTCGTCACCAGTGTCACTGTGAGCAGTGCAAACAGCTTGGTAGTGGTCAAATGCTAGTCAATCCATCCTCTTTACCTCCACTACTTAGCATCAAATCTGCACTAGCTGTCAATAAATCTGTCACCATCACATGGGCAGAAGATGGCCATACTGGTCAAATTCCGTTGGGCTATCTCCAGGATAATGCCGTTACGGACTTCAGCCTATTTGAATCAATCCAGTCATCCTCACCAGATCCTCTAGAACATATACCCGAAGTTGACTACGGTGATCTTATTCGTGACAAGAGAGAAATTCTCCGGTGGATGTCGGACATCTCGTCTTCTGGCATCAGTATTGTTCGAGGTACACCTGTCAAACCGGGAACAGTGGGGGACATTGCTGAACTCATCGCACCAGTACAGAATACAATCTATGGACACGTGTTTCAAGTTCGTAACAGTCCAAACCCAATCAACGCTGCCTACAGTACAGCTGAACTTCCATTGCACACAGACCTGGTGTATTATGAGTCGCCACCTGGTCTACAACTGTTGCATTGCATAAGGTATGGCTCATAGTTTCTCTGGTAAATGTGAACTTTGAGGTCAAGCTTATTGCTATGTAAATGCATCAGAATTATCAGATAAGAAAGCAATGCATTCTAAAGTGTTCCTACTCAATAGCTTAATTCTGTGTTTTAGCTGTAATGATAATATCATTGGAGGTGAGAGCACATTCCGAGACGGCTTCCACGCTGCAGAGGAGCTTCGACAACTGTATCCAGATGATTTTTCGACACTGGTTCGAATGGCTGCAACTTTCCAAAAGATTCACTATGAAAGAGAGCGACCAGTCCACATGAGGCATGTTGATGTATATCAAAAGATTCAAGCTCTAACAGTTTTTTTGGGTTATATTGGGCATTAACATTAAAACACCATGTAACATGATTAACGAAACTTAACTGAAAATTTGGTATATAATAAATAATGCCAAATATAAATGAACCATTTAATAGTTAGAGTTGAAATGGCGTTATCATTAAGTTGTAATAAATTACATTTATTATGAACTATGTGAGTATGGGGCCCATGTTTTTCAGCGAGAATTAAATAACCCCCTCTTTTCCCATAACCTAAGAACCCCCTATTTTCAACTCAACATTGTATTTTTGGGTGGCGTTTCGGATATCAAATATGAATATCATATTTGCAACCTTTTAGATCTGTGCCACATTTATATCTTATTGTGCACATTGGTACACTTTTGCCAGTGTTCTAGCTGACCATGTCAGATGTGCTGAAAACCAAACACTCATGGTAATCATAATTATAACCAATGTTTTCAGAGAGATACAAGCAGCAGCAGTCATGCAATCACTCAGTGAGTTAATTTCGTATCGTTTTCTAATGACCCATGTACTAAATATTAGTGTTGCTGATTTTGCAATGTTGTGTAGGTACTACAGGCCTCACATTGTGATCAACTCCCTCGGCTGTATCACTGCAATCAACTGGTCACCGCCATTTGAGGGTCCACTCAAGATTCCAGCATCTGAGATAGATGCATACTACATGGCTTACACAAAGTTTGCTAAGCTGATAGAAGACTCGCCTAGAAAAATTCAGTTTCGACTGAAACCTGGGGATGCAGTCGTGTTCAACAATCGAAGGATCCTTCACGGTCGACGTGAGTTTAAGTTGTGTGAAGATACTGATCGATTCCTAGAGGGCTGTTACATTAACATTGATGAATTCAAAAGTCAGTTGATGGTTTATCATAGTATGTATGGTACTGACAAACAGTTTAACTTTAAGCGTGTATCCAATCAAGATTTCTACCATTAGAAACCAGGGTTTCTTTACTTAGTACACGTGTCAATATCGGAAGTGGGTAATATCATGAGTGAATTAAAACATAACAACATATCCGGATAACTAACATAATAGTAAGCATACATATCACCAATATGATATTTAATCAAATTAATATTATCCTCTTCTGCAAATATGTGTTGAAAAAGTTACATTGTGATTTAAACTAACAACTTTCCATCTTTGATGAAGACTCAGAAATTTAGAGCAATCTATGAAAGTATTTTTATTGTTATGTTTTGACATTGATAATTATCAGTAACCGAGCTTAATTTGGTATTTAGGCTGATAGGGTCTATGTCTCCCTGGGTACTGCCGGAACGTACCCTGGTACTATCTAATATGCCGGACCGTACCTCGCTACTCCACTAACGAGTCTAGGGAGTCGCCTACGCCTACTCCCTAACCCTGCTAACCATATCAGATAGTGCAGGGTATGTTCCGGTATACCGGACCGTACCCAGGGTACGTTCCGGCAGTACCCAGGGAGACAGACCTTATCTCCGGTATTTAGTGTGCAGCGAACTTTTGTGACGTTTTTAGAAAGATATTTCCAAAGATATATTTTTTTATGAAATATCTTGAAAAGTTATTTAGATTTTAATGTTTTGAGATTTTAGGTTTGTAGGGCTGTAGCCTGAGAAAATTCCAGGCAATAAAATCCATCACCTGATTAATGATGCGGGATTATGGGCGCAGCTCCCCACTAACGTGCATAGTGTGGCAGGGTGGGCCTGAGACGAGGGTTTCATAGATGACTTAATGATGGTTTACACTTACTTTAGGGGCGATTTACATTTATCATGCTTTATATAATTTTCCTTTAAAGGGACAGTAGCCTCTAGGATTTTACTGCATACAACTGTACTTACTGTATAACAAATCATCTATACCCACACGTATTTGTTACCAGATACCTAATTAATTGTTATAATAATTACACATCAACGCTACGAAATTTGAACGGCGCCATGACACCCGCGACCGCTGCCACCCGAATAGTTTGACAATTTATTTTGCACGTTACAGACCGAGGGCTAATCACAAAAGTGCAATTATATTTATACCTAAATGCTATTTAACCGAACGATATTCATTTAGGGCAAATTATATCATATTATAAATGAACACTATATGTCGTTTATAAGATATTACAATCCTTTTGCTTTTAAATGATAAATAAGAAACACCCTCGGTCTGTACCGCTTGGCCGGAAAGGGTTTTGGCGCAACTTATCAGATCGTGTGCTTTGAGTGGCGCCACAATCGTTTGTAATCAAACTGTAGTCGTTAGTTTTAAAACATTTAAAAAAAAATATTCTAATGGTGATTGAACCATGAAACTTTTTATGTAGCGTAATTATAACCTAAATTAGCTGAAAATAACCCTAGAACCTAGAGTAAACTCTCCCTTTAAAAGCTTGTGGGGGGAGCTGCTCCCCCTTCATTGGATGCCCTTCACAGGCTACAGCCCTGGTAGAACATTGCAAGAATTGCAATGATAGTCAATATATTAAATACGAGTTTGAGTAGCATTGACTTAAGTACACCAACTTGAAAGTAATATATTGCAGTGGTGAGAATAACAAGAGTTCTCAAATAATAAATTCGCTGGAAGATGTAGCTAATACGTATAGTAACTGCTTTCTCGCTGGCCGTTGTTGTTCAACTGCGAAGCTTGTTTGCGGACTTCAGCATCGACAAGTTAGGATTGTGAGCAACTAATTTAATGTAAGGCAAGAGAACATAAGAACTAGTCAGTCGAGTTAAGACCGATTAGGGCAGGAGCAATTAAAGGACAAATGCACATACACTAAAAGTGTCTGCATTTTTCAATAAATGTGTAATGTAGCATATACCACTGAACTTTTTATCGTTTCATGTTACCTGATCCTTCTCAGCATGCCTATATGTTCACTACACTGTACTTTATTATACAAACGACATTACAACATCACATGAAACGCAATGTATAAATTTATCCATTATGTTGTACTCAGTACTTATCTATGATCTAGACAGGGTGTTTTCAGAAAATACTTAATTATGGAATTATGTACTGATGAGTGTCTTTTTAAAATTGGATAAAACTCTGCGATTAGGAAATATGATTATATACCCAAATGCCGTGGTAAACGTATATAGCCATTAGTGTGTGATGAAACATAGACCAACGTTCCAAATCTTTGATAATTATAGTTACACTTTTTACTTTTATTGCATCAAAGCCTGCGAAAATAACAATTCACAAAACATACAAACAAAATGGCATTTGAGACTAATTACAAAGTGTTATAAAACCGTAGTAATATTATCAGGAGTCTATCAATATTGATAGACTCCTGATATTATGATGCTTAACCTCAAACGTTAATAATTTGTTTAACAAAATAAAATAGCTTAACATAGTTACATGTTGGTTTACTTATCTTGTAAAACTGCCACGCATGCAATTATGTTTACATACCAACTGTAATCCGATTTAACTAAATCCCAATATAAATATATTTAGCTCTAGCTATAATATCATTTGGAATCATACATTCATAAATCCTAATGCTAACGACTGTACATGTTTACACTCGCTGGTTTTTAAATTATGACAATACAGTACGGTACTGAAATTGTTTACAAATAAGTTAAGCCTACATTTCTACCAACCATTTTCAACATCCG